GTGTACTGTCGGGCTACACAGTTTATTTCCATAGATATCATAGATTATGACCCCTTACCTTATCTGATATGTAGAGTGTGTATCAATGTTATACAAAGACTGCAACATTTTGTTTTTTATTTAAAGAAATCAATTGATAGTAAAAAACATACTTACTGCAATATAGTTTTCAAAAATAGTTTGGTTAATACTGTGACAAAGGAGTAGGTCCGGTAAGGGCTGATTTTGGCCTCAAAATTCAGGTTCATCTGATGAAAGATTTTTGACACTTTTTAAACACTTAAGTGTCTACTTCAGTCGATTCAATTAGTTTATGTGAAAGATTTGAACTGATTTAGTCATTTAAGACGCTCAAATTCAAGCTAAAATATGAAAAATCTATCAAATATGCCATAATATGTCACTTTTTAGATGGTTTTTGTCATAAATGAAAGTGGCCGCATCCGTGTTCATTCTCAACCTTTATATATGTTATGTATTATCATCAAATACAACTTACATTTAAATATTAAGAATGAACACAAATGCGGCCACTTCCATTTCAAACGGAAACCGTCTAAAAATTAACCAAAATGCTAAAATTTCGAAGATTTCAGTAATTTAGCATGACTTAATGATGCAAGTACCCGATACATGTGCATTGTATTGTCAAAAACAGCCCATATTCATGTAACAGAAGTATTCTTCTTACCAATAAAAAGCTAAAAATTTACATTTTAACAATTTTGTAAAACTGCTATATTTTGGGGCCAAAAAGGGGTCTTACTGGGCCTACTCCTTTAAAATACTGACAAACAAAGAACACCAATATGAAACAACAGTTAGTGTACCGTGGGGCTACACTGTTTGTTTCCATAGATTCATAGATTATGACCCTTACCTTGGTTTGAAAGGACTACAGTTATGTCTAAACGTTTCGTCGTACATGTAGAACTGAAATGCCTTGATATTTAACGAATGGCATATCCAAACATCACATCAAGTGACTTCGTTCCTGTTTGCATGTCTGCTGACCTACGCTTCTTATTTTTGCTGTCGACATTCTTTGCGGATCGATACATTTAGTTAATATAATATCCATATAATTGATAAGTTTATATTAATTGTATACACATATCCATTTGTCAATTAAACTTATCTTCTGGATATCTTCTTTATTTCATCCACTGACAATGTCTGTTTTTCGGCTTTGAAGTTGAAAATGTCTAGACCTCAGCATCACTGCTGACACTCGGGTTACACTCGTTTTTTGCAAATTTTATGGCGAAGAACGATGAATACTTGCCGACTTACTGAATGATACTTTTAACCAGTAGCTATTGCAATTCTTCAGAATCTGCTAAAACAACTGAATGAGAAAACTGACATTTTAAAAGAGAAGTTTGTGATCGTTATAAGATCACCATTGTGCGGTGTTTATAAAAATGAAGCCACGTCCGGTCGAAATGGGGACGTTAAATCTGATGCGTCGTTAAGTAAAAGTGCCAAGCTCTTTGTATGTACAAGAAACTTTGCAACATATCTGTTAGTCTGTAGGTTCCCTGTAAGTTTGCAAGCAAACATTTCTGGTACTATCTAAAATTTCCTACTTTTTTGGTGACAGTATATTTCTTCATCCCGGTCGCAGAATCAACCAATGGGTTTATTGTTAATCTTTTTTCGTCCGAAATGTGAATGAAATATTTGCCACTGTTTGATTAACACACAATGAACCAATAGAATAGTAGGATTATCAATCCCTATTATTAAATATTATTTATACATTTGGACGTCGTTAATTAAGTCTCCCAAACAAAGTTTGGAAGACTTATTGTTTTTGCTCAGTTATTCTTCCTCTTCTTCCACCTCTTTTTCAAACTTCAACTTGTCCGCAAGCATTTCTCAAAAACTTCTAGTTAGATTATCTAATACGGGCTCCACCATATATTAGACTAATATGTATAGTCGTGCAATCAGGGTTTTGTTTGTGCATTGCGGTCTATATAAAGTCCTATAAATGGGTACTATGCGGAGCCAAAAGAAGGGAGGGTTTTACTATAGAACCTTTTGGGATTATGACTTGAGAACAGTTCGTGATAGACACATGAGGTTTTCAGTAATTTTTATGGGACCATATGGCCTATACTTCTATGACATTGACCTTCAACCTTGAACATCATTTTTTCAATTTACACAAAATAAAAAATATTTGGAAAATCTAAAGAATTGAAAATATTTATATATAATAAAACAAACCAAATGAGATATAGCGCGAGTCCCCAAGGGTCAAGCCTCTCCCTGCCATTTAACAATGTTCTAATATCTTGTAAATGATCGAGATCCTTACCCCTGAACAACATATAAAGTTCTGTTTTTCATGTCAAAATGACTTGAATGATATATAAGGGGAGTCCCTAGTGTTCATCCCCACCTTCTGTCTTTTGAGAATGTTCAAATATATTGTAATGGTTAAGATCCCTACCCTAAACCATACTATATACCAGTTTGTCATGCCAAAAAAATTTAAACGATATACAGGTCTAGTCCCTAGGGGCAATTCCCAGTCCAGCTGTCATTTGAGAATGTTCAAATATCTTTGTAAATTGTCAAGATATTCATCCTAAACCATTTTTATTCCTGTTTGAAAATACCATGATGATTTGAGAATGATACATAGAGTGAATCCCCAGGAGTCACCCAAACCCTGTCACGTAAGAATGTTCAAATGTCTTGCAGATGGGTCAAGATTCCTACTACTAAACTATATGTATTCCAGTTTTTTTTTTGATGATTTGATTGAAATACAGGTTTAGTCCCAAGGGGTCATTCCTATTCCCTGTCATTTGAGAATGTTCAAATAACTTTGTAAGTTGTCAAATATCCAACCCTAAACCAAAGACATTCCTGTTTGTCATGTTAAGTTGATTTGAATTATATATAGAGGTAGTCCACTGGGGTCATCCCAAGTGCTGTCATTTATCACCTCCACCCCTACCATTTAATAGAATATTTGAATATCAAAGTTACAAGTTGCGAGGTAGCTGTAAAGTCGTAGTATGATTTGAAAATTCGCAAATATGAGTTATAAAGTTGTAAATATAAGTTGTATTATCGAAACTAGACGTTAAAATGAAATTTAAAGTCGTAAGTATAAGTAACGAAATCACAAGAAAATTGTATGAATTTATACATAGTTTTATCATCAATATTATATGTTATAAATGAAATTGTAAATGTTAGTAAGTCGTAAATAAGAAAAACATGTCGACTAAGTATATACAAGTTTGTTGGATTCGTCGTTATGAGTTTTTCGATTATAAATGCTTGTTACAAAATAGTAAACAAATCCTTAAAGAAGTTTTAAATTTTGTTCATGTGATATAAACATCTTTATTGATGTTAAAAGGGATGCCTTTTTAATGATTTGTATTTTAAGACAATATTTTTTACTTAAGTTGTCTTACGAACGAAATTGCAAGATAGCTTGTTTCCGAGGAGAATTGCAGGACAACTTTTCACTAGTTTTCTTTATTTGTTTCAATCAGATCATAGAAGTATTATATTGATATTGCTTTCATGATCAGATCGTCAAGATCGGAAAGTTTACAAAAACAAATGGATTTCGAATAAGAATTTTAAAAGTTTCACACAAATTTACATACATACATGACATCGAGATGTTTCTTATCACCAGATATTGCAGATGTGGAATATTTTCACACATTGTTGTATTTTTATTTTTATTTTGCCTATAAACCGGATATCCAGGACCAATTCAATTGAAACGCAATATACAGCTTTCAGACAGTAAGAATTTGTTTTAATTTTGAAATTGAAACAATATTTCTCAAAGTATGAAAATTGAAGATTTAAACAACGCATAAGCTTTATAACCTCATTACACGTTAAAGAGATTTGCCGTACAGTTGTTAGAAATTTACAAAGTACACACATGAACCTTTATTGACAAAACTCACGAACAAGACTTTAGTATTAAAACCTTTAATATTTACAACTAAGTGATATAGTTTTGATTACGTTAGTTCACCATTCTGTTGAATCTGGAAAAGTTGGTTTATGATATTTGAGAATTACATATATCCGTAATACACTATTTCCCAAAATCAATCCAGAGCTATTTCAAGCTGGAATTAGTACTCATTATCAACTGAATAGTACGACCCCATTTTGGCAAGAGGTGTACGCGTTTGTTTGGGGTATATCAATTATGCTACCCGTCCGTTTGATTGAATGGGATGTTAAATATGTTACCCCGTGTTGAGAGACTGTCAAAGTATGCAATTATGTACTCGTCATTGCAACATACTGATGACCTTTCGTCCAATGAAAAATACGTACTTTCTTTACATTTTTGGGGATAAAAATGCACAGACACAGATCTAGGATTTTAATATAATGGCAGAAGGTGCTTGTACATATTGGCAAACATTTTGAAAATCATAGAAAAATTATATTTACGTTGATTTATTCAAATTTAGATACTATCTGCGAATGTACTGAAGACTGTTGCTAAATTTATACTGATAACAGTACGTACGACATGTGTTTATGGAATAACTTCTTATTGGATCATCTTTCCCTTTCAGAGCACCTGTGGTCACCCGCGGTTTTTGGTGGGGTTCGTATTGCTCACTCTTTAGTTTACTAATTTGTTTTTTTGTATTCTGCTGTTTGTCTTTTGGTATTTTCTTTTTTTATGCCATGGTTGTCAGTTTATTTTCGACTTATGAGCTTTAATGTCCTTTTGGTATCTTTCGCCTCTCTTTCACCATGTATGCTCAGTATACAACTTTGGGAAGCCAAATTCATAATACGCATGGGGTCTTTTAAACAAAATAGGTCTCAATACAGCAACCAAATCCATCTAACGTCAACTTTCGTCGAGTGAATTTGGAACCTTAGTTTCTGTGCGTTAACACTGAATTTTGAATTACGAATCTCAACAAATATATATGTAAAAACGGGGGAATTCCGTTAAATATCAGCTGTTTATCTATTCATTAATGTTTGTATCTATTTATTGCTTTCTTCTATTGATCGATATATTACAGTAATTCTCAATTTACTGGGAACTTCTATACTATAGAAAAGCAAAATTAATGTTCAAGTATATTAAGAAAATCCTGTAAAAAATTGGAAATAAAATCATTGAGACATGTCATAGGAATAATTATTCCTTCAATGCTAAATAATATTCAGCATGTTTGAATTCTGGCGCTTGTCTGACGACTCCAAAATCGGCAATATTTGCATCATAATATTTTACAACAATTCTGAAAGAAAAGAAAACCTAATTTACAATACAAACAAACTGATAATCACTCTATTTACTGTGACTTGACTGTAAGTGTTGCTCTCCACCTATTGCAATAATCCAAAGTTCTGACCAAATTGCAATTTTTTTTATGAAACCAAACTGTTCAACTGGTCAGAAATTTGAACAAACTGCTGTAGAAAACCAGTCAAGTCCTTAAAGTGTAAGGTGATAAAATAAAGCATACTAACAATCCTATATAGCTTTAATTCCACTTCAATGATATTATGAAAAATTAGTCTAACAATTTTTATACTAATTTTATTGTTATTGTCATGATAAAGGTGATAGGTAGTAATATTGAACTGCTATAAAAATGTCCAAACTAAGCTTTCATACAATTTTTATTTCGAAAAGTCTTCTATATTCATAAGAATCAGACATCATTTGAATTAAAATATCTTATATTTAGTAAAATAAGTTGTGTAATAAGTTTCCATGGGAGATAACCTTAAATCATTTATTATTCTTTTGAAAATAGAAGACTTTTCGAAAGAAAAATTGATAATCTCTCATGGGAACTTCCTAATAATGTATTGAAATTTCACATATATTTTACTGAATATAAGATGATTTAATTCAAACGATATCTGATTTATGCTTTATTTTATCACCTTGCACTTTCACGACTTGTCTGCGGTTTTGTACAGCAATATGTTCAAATTTCTGACCAGTTAAACAGTTTGGTTTTATAAAACAAATTGCAATTTGGTCAGAACTTTGAATAAATTGCAATTGGTGGAGAGCAACACGTACAGTCAAGTCACAGTAGTTATGAACATGTCCACCGAGGGACTTGTGATAAATGTATGACGGATAGAAATTTTAAAGCAAGGAACACATATACATGTATAAACTCAGAGAGCTTCTATGACCGTACGAAACATATGTGTCTTAAGCATTTTTGAATCGGGCTCGTTATTCGGAAGCTTTAATTTTGAGTGTAGTTTTCCAGTTTATGCTTTGATTGTCTAGATTTCCTGGCATTCATTTATTATAGTGTGTTTGCACTTATTAACCTTATAGGTTTTAATGATTGAATGTAGCAAAGTATAATCACTTAACTAATTGCCTTATAATGTTTACCAATAATGAAAAAGAAAATCTCTCCCCAATAGATGATTTTTTTTCTTTATTTATATAAATATTTGAATAAACCATGATTTGGGGTGTATGATAAATAAACATCAGCACCACAACAAAATTATACGAATTCAATGAAATAAAACAGTTCTTGTTTTTCGTTTATGTTTTTGTACATAATCAGGCCGTTAGTTTTCTTGTTTGAATTGTTTTATATTTGTCATTTCGGGGCCTTTTTTTTAGCTTACTATGCAGTATGAGTTTGGCTTATTGTTGAAAGCTGTACCCTCTACGCCATTTGGTCTCTGGTGGAGAGTTGTCTCATTGGCAATCATACCACATCTTCTAATTTTGATATTCACCGATTGATGCAAATAGTACTACTTTTTAGATTACATATCAATGTAACTAACTTCCGTATTTACAATATTTAGTTGTTTTTTGTACTGTACAGTTTTAAACGATGAAATAGTGAAATATTACCTATTAGTTGGCATGCTCAGTAATGAAGCAAAAAATGGAATAAAGACTTTTGTGTAATCATCGTTGACTTTTTCATTAAACCGGTTCACTGATTCTATATCTACAAACATCATAGGTGTTTTCCTTCCATTATTTATCATCCTGTTACCTGTTGAGACATTTATATACACCAACTGAAAGGGAAAGTACATATACGTATTTCTGCAACTAAATCATTTAAATTCAATTCAGTGTTTTAAATTTAATATCTAGTGAAATATCAAAATTAATGTACACTATAGATATTGTTAAGACAGCCATTGCGTACAGATCCATGAAGGACTTTATAATGTTACATATTTCAAAAAGGCTGGGCTTATATAAGTCCTATAAAATTAAGGTTTCAGTTGTTTATTGAATTGATTTCAGGTAAAATGGAATTCCTCCCTTCGAAAGTTTTACGATCCCCATTATGAGTTGGTTGACTGTTACGGAATATCTGTGTCACAGATGTCCACTAATAAGTTCCAATTATTGTAACCATTCTCCCGGCCTCTTTTTTCTCGATGGTACATCACCAAATAAGACTTAACGTCGAATTTGCGTAACACAACGGTGCCACATGTGACCAGAATATACTTGCACCTCCGGAATACATAAGGTCAACTCTGGTTTTTTGGTGGGGTTTGCGTTGCTCATTGTTTGTTTCTATGTAGTGTTTTGTAAAGTTTTGTTTGTATTTACGTCGGTTTCCTTTCATGCCATGATTTTTTGGGTTTCTCTTCGACTAACAAGTTTGAATCTCCCTTTGGTAACATCTGCCTTTTTTTATAGAAGTTACAAAAAATTATCGCTGATATCAGTAAGCGTTTTTATTGGAAAATAACAGACGGATAAATGTATGTATGCTTTGTCCAACATCTGACTGATGATATAAGTTGTTCTATATTACCCATAGCATATAAATGTTTATGTCGATCACACAATACATGTACATAGACAAACAAACAGATTTTGCTTTATTTCAATGAAGTTAATGTATTCCTTCCTTATGAAGTCATACCTGCCATAATTGTTTTTTCGTAAATTGTTTTGCTATAAATTAGGCCATTAGTCTTCACAATTAAATAATTTCATATTTTTAATGTCGGGGCCTTTTATAGCCGACTATACGATATAGGTTTTTCTCATTGTTGAATGCCGTACGGTTGCTTATTATTGCTTACATCCACTTCATTTGAACTTGGGTGGATAGTTGTCTCATTGGCAATTATACCACATCTCCTTATTTTTATATTTTATGTGTGAAATAACGACATGAACCGTTATCTGCTGATAATGTCCAATTATTGCAATATGAAGAATTTCACACTTTCTTATTCTAATTTAATGCAACAAGGCAAAACGACAGAATGTCGGATTGCTACATGGTCCGAACACGACGATTGCGTGGATCATGAAGAACTGGTCATTTCTGAGTATATGTCTCCATTGCCTATTTACTGTGCGTGTCAAGGTTTTAAATCTGAAGTATGCCGTATTAAGTTTTGTTGATAACTGTTTGTATTATATTTATTTCTTTACGTCATGGTGTTGTCTGACAAAAACATTTTATCTATCCTTTGGTAAATCTTAATGTTCTTACCTCTAACGGATATTCAAGAACCTCACTAATTTTCTGTGCTACTTTGTCTTCAAAGTCATCTTGTAAATCTGAATCTTTCAAGTTTGTATGAATAAATATTCTAGGCATTCTGTGAAGACAAGAACAGTTGGTTTCATAAATATTATAACTGAATTAACAATCTAAAAGAAGAATACAATATTTTCAGCAATATTTCCTATTGTCACCGTAAGTAGTTCCGGTCTTGCTCCATTTATAGTTCATGCGATATCCACAAGATATTTTTTATCTTGATTTGATTAATTCTATTATAAAATAGATTTTACAATTATAGAGGTTGGAAAATTTTCTAAATTAATTGATTGTATTTCTAACATTTATCAACTGTTTAGGCATAATTATAAGTGAATTTAACAAATTAAAATTTATCATTTTACGTTCTACTAATTCTCGAACCATTAATTGAGAATTGCAGTTGCAAAATTATATATCAACATCTCAAATCATACTTCAGTGATTGTTGAAGTTATCCCTACATTTGAAAATTCTATAATATTATCCAAACGTAGGGTTGAAAATTATATTAATTTACCTTATGGGTGTTTAAATCACAATAGTTTTACCGTCTCATAAATCAAATTATCTATAACTGTAAACATATCTCAAGGTTGCGAACTTGTTTACTATCAATGTGATAATGTTTTAGATAATTTATCTCATACTTGTCTACTTATAGGTTAGATAATACTTGGTCATGTTTTATGAATATTTAAAGCCTGAGGCGTAGTCGAGGGTTTTAAATGTTCATAAAACATGACCAATTATTGTCTGACCAATTTAAAACATATTCACACCTTTGAGTGACATAAAAAAATTAGTCTCTCCTATTGAAATAATCAAACCTTAATTTGAGATCACTTTTAGTGTTCACATGGTTAATAAAAGTGATGTAAATCATATTTAATGGTCATTTCAAAAGATGGGATGAAATAGCAATGAGATAGTTTTGTGATAACAAAAAAGGATAAATTATTCATTAATGGAGATTTCTTCTGCTTCCTGTAAAATTTAATACTTATATGTCTTAAGGTCCTTAATCTTATAGAGCATGCGATGTTATATAAATCAGTTTTTCTAAAATTAATTTTTAATAATGACAAAACTTCATCGATTGATTTTGAAATTTACAATCGTTTTAACACTAGATGCTTACTTTTTAAATTGATGAATGTAATAAGGTCTTTTTTAAACTTCCTTTGATTTTTTTTCAACAGTCATTGTTTCTTGAAAAAAAACAATGATTTTATATTAAATACTAATTCACCATCACCGTTGTCCCCTTTTCAATTTTTTTTTCGGGGGGGGGGGGGGGGGGGGGGGTTCTATATATGCAGTAAGTAATAGTTATACACCGAGGGATAGGTGTGTCTGGATAAGAAACCCCGTCGGCCGGAGGCCGGAGGGGTTTCTTATCCAGACACGCCGTATCCAGAGGTGTATAACTAACTTACACCCCATTCTAAACCCTATATTTGTTAACATTGATTATTAAATGAAAAAAAAAAAACGATAGCATATTTATTGATAATATCAAACCATGATTTATAAGATTTTTTTTTTATTACATGAAACCCCACTAGTAACCTTTCTTTGATTATCTTCGTTCAAACTTTGACAAGTGAGTATATTTTACAAATGTCAAAGTTGTTTTACATATTCCCGTTAAATCCATGTGCTAATATGGATCAGCAGGTCAAGGTTGACTGTTTCGTGTATTCTTCTTACTAACAAAAAATACATCATGCTCTTTGTATTCAGTTGTCAAGATGGACGGGTATAAGACAGACGACAGTTTGTGGCAAGCGTTGGATTTGGTAGAAGAGACTAAAGATGAAGACAATATTATAACCCAAAATACTTACCTGTATCAGTTTAATAAAGGTAATCATAACTTTATTTTATATCTTTAATACGGTTTTATAGAACAAAAGCTCCTCCCCCCTCTTCTCGGGGATAAAAACCCAATCATATTCGGACATACTAAGGGATAGGTGTGTCTGCATTAGAAACCCGACTACCAAACACGCTCAACACACAAAGATACAGATTTAATATTTAGGAACTTCATTTTTTGGGGGCAATCAGGGGCTGATCCAGCCAGGGGTTCCCAACTCAAGAGAAAAAAAGGGGGGTGGGGGTCCAACCATTCAAATTGCATTGATCTTTTAAATTAAAGTCGGGTCCAACCCGCGGAACCTCCACCCCCTGATCGGTCACTGGGTAACCGAGGGGGAGGGGGGCCGGGAGTTAGAATCCCCGTTTTTCAATGCTTTAGAAATTAGAATAGAGACATATGACTGGGATAAAAAAAAATATACCTTCAAGCAAAGGAGTATTTAAAGGATAATTTTGTATTCAAAATAGATGCTTAATTTTTTTTTCGCTATTGGAATTTCCTAAAATGTGTTTTTTTTTTAATATCTTGAAACAATTCGTAGTGAACACTATTAGTAATTTCTTATGTTCATGCTATTTAAAAAAATAATCAATTTCTATTGTTACGAATAACAATGGACTTTGTTTGCGGGATGTAGAAGCAGGGGTTTCCAGAAACCCCGCTCGTCACACCCTGTGGTCAAAATCCATTGTTATTCGTAACAATAGATCTATTCAATTTACACTTGTTTCAGAAATAGAAACTATGAAGTATAACAATAGAACTGGGGTGTAACTATAAAGTAACATTTGTAATGTTGAAAGCTCAACTTTAAATGCTTTTATAGTTCTGATCTCTTGGTTTCATTTATAATAATTTATTTAGACATACAACAGTACTAATGATTTTTCTTTTTGATCTTTTCCTATGGAAATTGCCTCAGGGGATTGTACACTTCATTAGTGCAGTTTTTAAGAGTTCACTTTCATATTTAATCTACAGTGAAAAGTCATTCATGTATAACATTTTATAGTGCAACCATGTACTAAGAAAAATAGAAAGGAAAATACTGATTTTCCATTGGACGATATTTCATGGACGAGAGCCATGTACTATGAAAAATAGAAAGGAAAATACTGATTTTCCATTGGACGAGAATGGGTGAGTATGTTCTTAACTACAGGTATACAAAGTTTGATTTATAGGTTAGATAATAGTTAGTCATGTTTTATGAATATTTAAAGCCCGAGGCGTAGCCGAGGGTTTTAAATGTTCATAAAACATGACCAAGTATTGTCTGACCAATTTAGAACATATTCACATCTTCGAGTGACATAACAAAATTAGCCTCTCATTGTAATAATCAAACTTTGATATTAGCTAACTTTAAGTGTTAACATGTTTAGTAAATGGGATGTAAATTATTTAATGGTCATTTCAACAGATGGAATGAAAGAGCAAAGAGATAGTTTTGTGATAACAAAAAAGGATAAATTATTCAAAAATGGAGATTTCCCCTGCTATACCTAAAATTCCTTCATTTTAAAAAAGCATAAAATGTTATATAAATCAGCTTAAGTTTTCTAAAATTGTATAACTTTCAATAAGGACAAAACTTCATAAATAAATTTTAATTTACAATCGTTTCAACATCACATGCCTGTTTTTTTTTTATTGATGAATGTATTGTTTTTTTCAAAAACTTTCTTTAATTTTTTTTTATCAACAGTCATTGTTTTTTAAAACATTGAGTTTGAGGTTTGGTATAAAAATTTGATTAAATATTACATGTATTTTACCAACACCTTTGTCCCCTTTTCAATTTTTTTTCGGGGGAGGGGGTCTAAATATATTCTATTAAATAACATTTACAATGTTGAAATCGCAACTTGAAATACTTTTTAGCTCTATTCTCCTGATTTAATTTATAATTTCGGGTAATTAAACAGTATTCATGATTTTTTTCTTTTTCTCTTATCCCTGGACATAGCCTTGGGGGGTTGTACACTTCGAATTTTTAAGAGTTCTCTTTCATAATTAATGTACAATGAAAAGTCATCCATGTGTAGCATTTTATAGTGCATGGAAAGCCATGTACTATGAAAAATAGAAGGGAAAATACTGATTTTCCATTGGACGAGAATGGGTGAGTATGCTCTAATTGAAAATATAAATGTATATATTAAAGTTGAGCATACACGTGTTTATATTTATGTAAACAAACACACGTGAGTGCGTGTCTTTATAGTGTCTTTATAGTGGTCATCTATTGGTGTTATGTTAAATAAACAGGTTTGTGTTTTAGATATATGATATTTCGGATGGTTCAATATTTGTCGCAATGCGTAAATATATTGAGTATGATATTTGATATGTAAAAAGCACGGGATTTTTTTAAGCGCGAATAGTTTTCTTGTAAAAGGAAGTTAGGGAATATTGTCATTCGAAGCTTGTATACAGTGCAATTAAGTCTAGATGAATGGGTCCCCCTCCCCTAAATGAATGTTTTTATTTCTGTAATATTTTATGCAATTAAAGATAGACAGATAGATAATTTTACTATGACATTGTTTGGCTAATTTCTTATACGACAGGTTTTTCCGATTATCTGCCTTAGTTTGTGACGCGACTCCTGGGTGTCGTCTTAGTAGCGGTCGCCATTACAGTCGTGAAATAATTATAAACAAGCTACTTATCTATTTCCCATTCCATTAACGATCCAAACTTTTCTGATTGGTTTCCATTAATATATCCTCCAGAACTAGAAATTAAAGAAACAACAGACACGGCTTCCTCCGGCTCATTTTTATACTTATTCCTCGAATTTGATATAAGTGGTCATCTCAATACAAAATTCTATGACAAGCGTTACGATTTTGAAATTTTATCCACCTCAGCAGTAATATACAAACTTCACCTGCTTATGGGATATACATTTCCAAAACTCATTCGGTATTCAAGAGCTTGCAGCTGCTACTCAGACTTTATAAAACGTCACCAGTGTATGAGCAGAAAGTTAATGAGCCAAGGTTATGTCAAAGAACGTCTCGTCCTGTTTCTAAAAAGTTCATTGGAAGATACCAAGACCTTGTTGATAAATATTCCTTATCAACTTTGCAAATAATACATGATGGTCTTGAAGTATAGATTCTCGATACTGACGTTGTTTATCATCTTAATTACGTATTAAAGTTCCCCTTTTTTGTCCTTGTATATTTTTAAACTGTACTGTTTATCCATATTTGATTATATACTTATGACGAGGGATTTTATATCAGACTACTGGACTGTCAGAATTTCAGCGTCGGATGATAGCTACGCTTCCGAAATTTCTAGTAATTAAACAACCTACTGAAGAAAGGTCAAATCAAATTTCAACAGAGATTACTGCGGATTCAGGCGGGGGCGTGCCCCCCCCCCCTCCCCTAAAATTTGCAAATCATGGGTTGTCCTCAGCTAAATAAAGAACATTTCGATAATTTTGCCTAAAAAAAAAATTAAGTTCGTCTCTTCATACTGGTTTGATTTCCTTACAATTACAAGACAAGGTACGTTAAATCCACATGTAGCTTCGAAATAGGTTTCATTTTCATTATCCAAAGAAATGTGTACAGCTTCTAGACAAAAAGACAAATCGGATTCTTTCATAGACTATTTTTTTTTTTTTTTGCATAGTCGTTTCACGACGTGTCAACATTAGTCTGCCAGGTGTAACTTTACTTTCATAACAAGTTTTATTTAGAATTCAAAACGGATTTTGTGCTGTCGGCGTACCATCCAGAAAAAAATGTTCCGAACATACAAAATCCTGTTTATACACAGGTTTTCTGTTTATAGCTTTGGTTATACTCAAGATTGTTGGCTCGTCAGAAGGCATCATATGAAACTTATATGGACAGTCATTGTTCAACTTGTGTTATTATATACGTATTGTTTTTTTCCACATTCTGAAGTTTTCTACGATTATTTGTGCAACAATTATCTGCACAAGAATTGTCCCCACCTAATTTTTTACCGACACTATGCATAACAAAATGAATCAGAAAATGAAAGAAACGCAAATGTAAACAAAAAATGATAATTGCTTCGCATCACGGTGCGTAGCTAATGGCTTCAGACCACAATTAATTCCCTTTGTTCGTGGTCTAGGAATATAGTTCCCAATTATTATATGGGGTATTTCTTCCTAAGTATTCTGTCTACTGTTTTCTTTGAAATGTTTACTATTTAAGTGATCGTATCTGTTGCATATATATTGAAATAAGTAGAACATGTGGAAAAAATTTATTGTTGAAAGTGAAAGTAGTGATTTGGCCAAAATGAAAGTAGGGTAGAAATTAGCCTTCGTCATTTATTCAAGATTCAAATCCTACTATTGGCATGTTAATAGGGCTCCCAAAAGAAAAAGCACTGATGGATTGACCTGGGACAAGCATATTTTATTAGAATAATAATGGTCTTGAAGCAGTTAAATTTATTTCAGGTTTGAAGCGGTGCAAATTTTTTATTTCAATTTTACTTTTACCAAAAAATGCATTGTAGCAAAGGGGAAGAATAATTGTGGTCTGAGGCCTATTAGTGTCAGTCGATATATACACGCCATCTTGAAATAATTACTTATCACATATAGATTCTGATTGGTTGCTTTATGATGCGGCTGAGATACAGCAACAGCTATTGGCTTAAATGAGATAAAGAAATACAGACTTTTCTCGTCTCAGGATAAGACATCAAATGCCGGAAAATTAACTATGTGTATTTCAGTTCCGATTAACTGTCATTAATTCATGCTCGTTTTATTATGCATATATTGCACACTGAAATTCAATATTGAAATATCAATTATTAATACGTGTTTATTTGCTTTGTTAATCTGCAATATGCACGATTTGTTTTGCTAAACAATGTTCCTATACAATGTTTACAAAAATGCATTACCTGTATTTTATAACTTCTGCCAATCTAGGTACATCCCCAAAGAGGCACGTACACCTCCAGAGTCGTGTCTATTTGTAAATGTTGATCAATGTTTTAATTTTCAACAAGTAAAGTGAACAAAATTTTAAAAGCATGGGTGTATAACGCACACTCTTAAAGTAGAACATCATCATTTTCACTGAAACTAAATATTTATTGCTGTTTACAATTATATGTTATTGCTTCGCATTGCAAGCTTAATGGTAAATCAACAACCACATGCACACATATTACCTTAAATTAGGATACAGCGAAGCAGTCCACAGCTTTTAAGAAAGATCAAACTTGTGTTTTGATTATGCACGTCCCTTATTTTTCACGATCGTAATGGCGGATCGGTTATATGAGAGGTTAATGGATACACCCACGTTTCTTTGATAGTTATAAATAAACCCGTCTTATATATACAAGTAATAGCTTTTCTAAAAAGCATGCCGTTTAATAGCTTATTATGTAACTGTTGCAAATTGTTTTTTTTTATTTGTAGTTTCAGTATATTCCTCTGCGTATAAATTGTATTGGGGTAAAAAAAAGTGGAACATTGGAAAGGCCTATATAGTATTTATCGCAACTCGGATAAATAGTGACGCTGTGATTGGTTTAACGCCGTCACGTGGTGACCACATATGGATCCGTATGGGGTTAGTAGATTTCATATGGGGTTCATGACATCACGTCTACTATTAATCGTGACGTCAACTATTTTAAAATGTTTTTGTTTTTCATTGTATATTTTTATACAAAAGTCGGCAGGAAAAGTTCCGTGTGCGACAAATTCGTTGTACGGTTCACTACCGACCCCTACTGATCCATAGAGGGTTAGTAAAATCCGTAGCAGTGGGATTGCCGCGTATCCGTTCTGTATCTCCTTGCATATGACGTAACGGACAGAATTTCAAGGGCGATAATGCCATAATCAATACAGATGGCGCGCTTATCGCAGGCTATAGTGGTTTTGTTTATGTCGCGTACGTGTGAATCTTCTTTGTTTTCCTTTGGCCTCATCCCTATGGATTTTACTATCCCTTTAATGAATCTGTAGGGGGGGTCAGTAACAAACCATTTAAATTATATTACGGGTTACAATTTTCTTTTTGTGCAAGGCAATTTTTAACCCCTGGAAAGAGCTTAATTTCTAAATCACTTGCGTTTTTGCCTGTACTTATTTCGGTAAACCTTTTTTATGGATACATTTTTCAGCAGACATATCAATAATTATTATTTACTCTCTGTTTGATTGTTTGCGTTTGAGAAAAGTGTGATCAATATCTTTTGTCCCGATAAACCAACTCACAAAACGTTTTAGATCCTACTGAATCTTTATCATACCGGAACTAATTGTCCCTATATAATACTTGGGCCGGTTCCTTCCAGTAGTGTATAAGACATGTTATTTATATATATATTTTATAGCTTGCAATGTGGTATGAGTTTTTCTCATCGTTTAATGCCGTAGGTTGGCGTTTGTTTGCTAACATCTACGTCATTTTGTCTCTAGTGGATTTTTTGCTCACTGGTAATCATTCCACATCTTCTTATTTTTATGTTATAAATATATGACTGGCTAATTTTCTGGACCATTGCAAACATATTTTCTAAAGCTATGGTTCTGAACATTCGCCAGCACTATTCACATGCATCGATCAAAGTTCAACTATATACCATTTGTTGTCAGAACATTATAATACAAACATGTACATGAAGCTGTGATTATTGTTTTCTCAGATTTAACAAACAGAGTTCGTTCCTGTTCATTGCCTTAAGGTCTCCTAAATTTGTGTATTTTGATTTTGCTTTTTAAGGGATTTTGTTTTGATTTCATATTTTGGAAGTCTTTGTAAAATTAACCACAATTATCTATTTTTTGAAAATTTAGAGCTTAAGTGCAATGGTAGTAACGCTGAAGTGCAATGGACTACATAATCTATATTTTTCATGTTTACATGCCAATGTTTGTCAGAAGTAGTTTTTCGTTTTTTCTTTAAGGAAACATAAAGGGTATTCCTGTTTTATTTAAAACAGTCATGGTAAATAGTCATTATATTTCCATTCCAAACTGTAACGTTGTAGTGTACTTAGTAAATAGCTTAGAAAAAAAAAAGCAGTCGTTCATACAATTGACCACTATAGAAACTATATAAGAGGGTTATTTTCCTGTACAACCAGAACTAATTGCAATGACTAAAAAACCTGGAAGTTGTTTGAAATGCAAATACTTCTTGATTAGTCAGAACGAAACAATATAAGTGAAACATCTATATGGCTGCTGTGAATGAGAACAAGAAATGAGATAGATTACTCGGTAGATGGTTCTTACTGCAACTGGAGAAAATATTGAATGTGTGATATTTATATATACTAACTATATAAAAAATAAAAAACTCTCATAAAGATTGGACATCTGTATATTTTAAATTAGTAATCACAGGTCTAATAGACCATCGCACTTCGGCGCAGACCATCGCCTTTCAGCGTGCATCGCACTTCAGCATCCCTATCGAACCTCCGAGTCCTACATATATATATATCTGCTTTCAAAACACCTTTAGGCTTACGGGACTGAAAAAACCAATTCACCGGACCTGTACCGACGCCTTTATGTGTATAATATCCCTCCCTTCCCGAAAAATTTATCTGTATTAATCGTATCGTCTTATTTTTTTCCCTTTGGAAGTTGACCTATAAGTTGACTGTTTTTGCATCAGAACTTCACTGTACCGTGCTCGACGTTGGTGTGAAAAGGAATTTGACGCATGTTTTACATCAACCCGTCCCTCTTTTATACTATCCTATAGACCCGGAATAAAAGAATACCAAAATTAATTGAAAATTGGAGATACCTGTTTTCAGATTTTTTTATGCTTTTGAATTATATCAGTTAATAGGTACTTATCTTTAATTTGTGTTAACTACAGACAGAAGCATACTCGATCTTTCATATATTTACATGTAATTGACGTAACATTTATAAATGCCTCTGCACAATCACGACACTGGGTTACTTGTATAGCGCACTAAGTGTGCATTTAACGAAATCCCTGTTCAATTATTTATAGATAAGTGTGTAATATCATTATTCCGTGTATAACGATACGCATGAGTGATAACTGTAACTTAAGTGATGATTTATAACCAAAGAACTGATCTAAAATACACTAACAAATCAGTTATGAATGTGATAGGTAAAACAATATTTATATCTGATGCAAACACAATTAAATAATAAAGACAGAACAAAAAACTCAATTAACTTGAATCACTTTTGCGTTTGACCTTGCATCATTAAAATATTGATTTAACACTTCACTATCAACTTGATTAAACACTTCACTGTCATTTTCATGACCTACTAATCATGATTTTTTTCCGGCCTCACTTACGGATACGCTCACATATAATAGATGTACCACAATATTAACCAATCAGAAGTTAAGAAAGCCTTTACATCATACGGAAGAAGCTTATATTTACCAAAGAGAATCCCTTAACAGATACGTGCACCGTATGACTAATTAGACCGAGTCTCATGTGACTCTCGGTAATTATATGATTTATTACTTTGATTTTCTATTTTGTAGGCTTTCGTGTACCACGCAGCGGTGCTGTTGCTACACAGGTTATTTGCAAGTATTTCAAGATTTTTATCCATTGTCCACATTTATTCATGTTAGGCAGTCTTCATACAGGAGCTTCTCAGGGAGAATGAACAAAAACTAGTATTATCCTTTAACTACACTAAATAATTCAAAGTTTGGTGACTATGTTGAACACATCTATCACATCGATCTTGAAGTTAATAATCAAGCAGATACAGTAAATTTTGAATCGTATTTTGACTTGCATCTTGAAATTAACAATGATGGTCTGTTGAGGACAAAACTTTATGACGAAAGTGATGATTTCAGCTCTCAATTATGAACTTTCCTATTTCCATGTATTAACATTCCAGCAGCTCCTGCATATGGAGTATACATTTCCTAGTTGGTACTATTTTCAGTGCGTGCATTTCATATGATTTCCTTGATAGGGGGTTGCTGCGGAAGCTGTTAAACCAAGGGTTCTAAGTAGTTAAAGTTGAAGTCAACCCTTCGAAAATTTTAAGGACACTTTTAAGTTTAAATGAGCAACACGACGGGTGCCACATACAGGGCATACTCTACCTACCTTTCCAGTGCACGTGAGACCACACCTGATGTTGGATGGGTTCGTTTTGCATAATCTTTATTTTTCTATATTGTGTTTTGTAGACTGTTTTTTGCAATGGCGTTGTAAAATTGTCTTTGACTCATATGTGTTATTACATTTGGTGTCTTTCGCCTCCCTTTAAATGGTTGAATTTCTACACAGTTCATCCATTTTATGATATTCAATAATCAATGTATGAATTTATTCATTTTAATAAATGTTTGTATCAAATTTTTTTCAGCTGGTTGATTATCAGTCAATAAAGCGGTTACAACTAAAATAATTCATATTTTCGGATATAGCATTGATTTTAGTTTCGTGTCTTTATCGTTAAAAATAATAGCGCTATGTGGCTAACGGATTCTTAGGGCAGCAAACCTTGAATAAAAAATACTACTGCATACAAACTTATTCATGTTTATTTCCCCATCATTTCAAAATACGCTGAAAAAAAACAACATCAAAATGCTTCTGTACGCAAGTGCAGTTTTCTAAAAAAAAAAATATTTTCCGAAACACTACTGCTTTAGAGAAGAATAAAATTCAGCATGTTTGAATTCTGGTGCCTCTCTAACCATTCCAAAATCTGTCGGACATACATTAATATACTTTATAACTACTCTGTAAAGAAAAGAAATTAATTAAATGTTATTTGAAATTAACATTGATATCTACCTTTATTATTGTTATATATCTTAATGTTATTCGCGATCTTCACATGGAATATGGGCTCATATTCCCTATCAGTGTTTTATATCCCCAGAACCATCAGGCGAAGGGGTAATATGGCACTGACAAGGAATTTGAGTCGACTATGAAGCCAAAATATTAAATATATTGTACTGATTTCAACACTAATTACTAGTTTGATCTTCTTTTTTCTTCAAAGGACATATGGGCTCATATACTCTGTTAAGGTATCCAATAAAATTGCAGGATTAACCAGGATATTCCAGTATAATATAGATTTTTGATCCTTTGATCTTTCTTCATGATGATTTCTTATCTCATGCTACTCGAGTAAATTGGGGTTTTCCTAGTCGTGTTAAAAGAGAATGCAATAGCGTCATAAGCCATACATCATTAACGATGTCTTAAAAAATTGCGCATAACAAATTATTTATGCTTTTTGCCAGGGGACACATATATAGATATAAGAAGATGTGGTATGAGTTCCATTGAGACAACTCTCCATACAAGTCAAAATTTATAAAAGTAAACCATTATAGGTCCAAGTACGGTCTTCAACACGGAGCCTTGGCTCACACCGAACAGCAAGCTATAAAGGGCTCTAAAAATTACTAGTGTAAAACCATTCAAACGGGAAAACCAACGGTCTAATCTATATAAAAAAACGAGAAACGAGAAACACTTATGAACCACATCAACAAACGACAACTACTGAACATCAGATTCCTGACTTAGGACAGGTGCAAACAATTGCAGCGGGTTTAAACGTTTAAATGGTACCAAACCTTCATCCTTATCTGAAACAATAGTGTAACATCACAACATAGACAGACACACTATAAAATATCAATTGTAATGGCTTAACTCAATCAAAAGACATATTAACACCAGTGAACATACACTGAACAAATAAATTGATCTATGGTACAATGTTAATACAAATATGTCCATATCTTTTATTTAAAATAAGCACTTGCTTATAAATATATCTCAATCAAATAGAGCACAGAATATTATATAGTGTAATTTTTTTTTCTTTAATGGGTCTAATGTACCGACATCATTTCATGGTATCACAATTTTATGTCTCATAACGTCGAAATTAGGCAATGTTACATCATAGACGTCCATCCGCTGTATTTCCCGGCAAACGAAATGTTACCACATTAAAATTGGAAGCGAAAGTGTTAAGTGCACACGGCAAGCATTTATATAAGCATATGTACGGGGGCCACATGCGGAGGAGGATCTGCTTACCCTTCCGGAGAACATGAGATCACCCCCGGTTTTTTGGTGGGGTTCATTTGCTCAGTCTTAACAAAACATTACCTGTTGAGTGGAAGATCTAGAAGTGAAGCAAAAAATGGTATAAAGATTTTGTTGAAATCATCGTAGACTTTTTCTTTAAAAATGGATGATATATCAACAAATATCATTGGAGTTTTTCTTCCATTGTTCAACATTCTATTTCCAGGGGAGACTAATATGTAAATCAACTGAATAAAAAAAAACCAAACTATTCCCATAGGAAAAGGATTTATATTATCTAATATTACATATTACACACAAACAAGAATTTCTATTCAAACAATAGACCACAAATTATAATTATATCTCCTCATGTGCTTGTTTTTCACAATTAGTACCAAATTGAACACCGAACACAGTTTGTAAATCATACTCATTTGTTATTTGAAAAAAACACTATTTTTCAGATTTAAACATGCCTACAAGCTTGTGAGTTTAAAAGAGACATTTTTTTAAAATCCGCTTTGTATGATGCAAAATAACCGGATATGGCTCATGAATGTATTTCAGCAGGAGTCACTAGAAGAGCAGAAATAATTATTGCTGATTCTTTCTCCGCGTTGTATTATGAAAGGGTTCATGTTGGTTGAACATAGGTTTCATGATAGTGTTAGGTGTACTGCTGTTTGACTGTTCGTTCATTTCTTTTCTTTTTGTCATTGAATTGTCTGTTATTCTTCTACTTGTGTTTTCCCCAATCTTCTTTGGTATATTTTCCCCTTTTCATACAATGTTTTACCTCTAATGGTGCCTTAAGAACTTCACTGGCTTTTTCTGCAATTTTATCCTCAAAATCATCTGGTAAGTCAACTTCTTTTATGTTGGTATGGACTTTTATTCCAGGCATTATGTTGAAGCTATAGGTAGTAACTGAGTCTGGATTTCAGATCTTTTAAAATCATAAAAGTAAAATAATACCTCTTAATCAGATTTGATTGATTGATAAGTTGTTAACGTCTAGTAGTAAATATGATATTAGTAAGTGTGATGCCATGTTAAAATTGTACATAAATATATATATATATACATATCTAGCTTAATAAAATACTAAAATTTGAATAACAGGCCTACAATAAAAGTTCAAAAGCAAAGCTGTCACTCTAGCCGGACAATTTCAATCTGATTGCAAGGCGATCAGCATTTTCTCTGACTCGCAAATGCTGCATTTCTAATAGGATCTCTTGTTCTATTGCATTGGAATTTTCAACTTTTCTTTATTGTTTATTTTAGCTCTAGCATTTCAGAAAAAAGTTTTCTGTCGGAATACGTTTCTTATTCATCAAAACTGGTATCGTTAGACATGACATTCGGAGTAAAAATTGAACAGAACAAACTAAAACTGAGCACACTATGATTATTTATTTTAGTAATACAGTTAACGACATACACAATATCAGTGTATAACACAAAGATCTTAACAAGTCTAATTAAAAGAATAAGATAAGACCGGTCGACCTAGTACATATATATTTTTCGTCGATCATACTATAAATCGGCAGAAAATTAGAAAAACATTGTTTATTTAAAATAAAATTTACCAAGTGTATACATAAATATAAGTTAACGATAACTTACCGTAAAACGAAGTTATCTGGTCAAATATTTGGTACACAGGGCACGTATTAAAATCTCGTTTATACATATCTTCGATGGATATTTACAAGATAAAAGAGGATATAATTGGGGAGCATGGTTTGGATATAACCCAGTGTTAGTTCAAATCCCGTTGAGGTACTAAAAGTCAGCATAAAAATCCAATTCTAACACTGTTGGGTTTAATTTTCAGACTTTTTTTTGGCTGAAATGTCACTAAGATATGAAATAACCACTGATGTGATGTAGAAATGATGACATGAGATTACATCCTGTATATAGGCCGAATCAATAATTTCATCAATTTTTTGATTAGTCGAAATATTTATTATTTTGAAGAAAGATTATTTTGTCAGGGATAGGGGAAGAAATATGGTGCCGACACCCTCATCGGCCTCTCCTTTTTCCAAACACATTTACATTATTTTCTTTCCATTAAACGTATAAAATTAACATAAGCAAAATATTGATAGAATGGGTGATGCAAGTGCTGGAAGATTGACCTTCGATTTGAACTAAATTGGAAAATAGTTGAGTTGGTTTACCAAGCAAGTTTATTGATATTTGTTTTGGTATTTTGTCATTTTCAGATACATTATTCATTAGCTTTATGATATAGCTGGACATTCGGTCTGAAATAAATGAAATGTTGTTTTTATTCTTTGGTGTAGTTCTCAAGTTTGTAGACATTTTTGTACTTGAGCCAATCCTATTGCAAACTAGATTTCTGTGCAAGTTACTTCTATTGCAAAAGTTGATATTTATATTACAAACATTTAATTTTAAAACAGAGAGTCGATGTTAAATTCGCGATGTCTAAAAGTAATGCTAAATACTAATACAACGGTAACTTAATTTGATTTCAATTGTACACTTATGGTACTAGTTTCAAACCAGTTTTACGATTCATAATAACAACTTTAGGTCCATGTGATATTAACGTTTAACAGGTCAGGAACTCTAGATTTTCTGACGTCAGTATATATTTGCATAGAAATAGAAGTTAAACATGGCTTTGAAAAACTGACCAATCGACTCAATGAACTTTAATGCATTGTGGGCTACTACATATTAATTAACCACTTAAAAATACGTGGAATAAGTGGGAAAACTGTCAATTAATATAATCTCTCACTCTGGGACTCTCATATTAAAATGTTTTTGTTCAGCGAATGTGTTTAAAGTAAAATATATTTAACATAATCTTCAATTTGCATGCTCAGATTAAAAAAAAAATGTTTACTAGCTTCACGATTCGAATTTCTTTTTCGCCTTGTAAAAGTAGTTGAACAGGTTTTGTACGTTGTTATGCATTGTACCTGCGGTTTTTCCTTACAAAATGTTAATAATAAAGTAAATTTTAAGTACAATAGACACTCTTGTCTTATATATTGCCTACGACAATCTTACTTACATGTTCAAAATATAATGTCTTTAGAATGACTCGTTAAAGAATTTATTGCAACCAATTTAATACTTGATTTTATAAAATGTCAGAGAAAAAAGGAACATGCAGATGATATCCAAATGCCGCCTTGTAAAATAACCAAATACACGATGGTGAATAATGATAGCACATCCACAAGTGTTCTTGTGAATAACAGACACTCTCGAGTTGTTCAAACAGACACAATTTATCATGTGGATATAGATGTTCACACCTGTGGAACAGGCCTCATTCGGGAAGAATTTGGTTGTCAATTTGATTCCGTGTCACCAATATTTCAAGAAATGGCCGGACAAATACAAAACTTGCATTGTCTTATTTCAGAGAAAAATGTGGTCATTAATAGTTTAAGGAAAGAAATCGAAGGCCTTCGCAGTATTGAAACTGAAAAAGATCGAATAAATGTTATTGAACAAATTTTTCTCAAAGAAAAAGAGACTTTAAAAGATTGCGATTTTTTAGAGATATAAATGGTTTGTCAATACTTTCCCCAAATGATTTAGATGAAAAACAAACGCCTATAGTAAGAAAAGTAATTGATTGTTTAACTAAATCTATTTCAGATGTTGATACGTATGAGAATTCTCAAAAACGCCAATTCCGCAAGTCTTTGGCAATTGAATTGTTGTTTTCAGCAAACTATTTGCCTTATATTTCTCCCATGTCACTTGCTGGCTTGATTTTATTGTATAGTTCAACAAGAAGTAAAACTGCAGTTGATATTTTTTACACACTTTACCATCAGGTGGTTACACCTTTTTACAAAACTGGTTGCTGTCATTGAAACATATTCCTTGTATCTCTACGAATGAAGTTTTTGATTACGCATATGCCTTTTACAACAATCAGCGCCTACAAAAGGTTTGGTTATCGAGAAATTCCAACAAACAGACATTAGAAGTTATGATTAACATAATCAAATTAGAATTGAATGGTTTTAATTGTCAAAAACATGAAAACTTGCACCCACGACATTGACGAAATATTGAAGATTTAGGACCTTATGAATAACCACAAACGACTGAAAAAGATACGGATACAATACAAAACAAAATCATGGATGACAATTTCAAAGCTAAGTTTATTCAGTGCCATCAATGCAATAAAATGTTTGGTAAAAACAAGATAAAATGTGATGTTTGTAAAATTAATCTGAGAAATGGGATACTATCCCAGGAAGCTATACCAGCAAAGATTGTACTAGACAAAAAGGAAGAAAAGGTCAAATTTATTAACTACACAGAAAACTTCTCGGATGATGGAAGTGTAACTTTAGTAAGCGAGACAGATTTAACTCATAGCAATAGATATAAGAAGATGTGGTATGAGTGTCAATGAGACAACTCTCCATACAAGTCACAATTTATAAAAGTAAACCATTATAGGTCAAAGTACGGTCTTCAACACGGAGCCTTGGCTCACACCGATCAGCAAGCTATAAAGGGCTCCAAAAATTACTAGTGTAAAACCATTCAAACGGGAAAACCAACGGTCTAATCTATATAAAAAAACGAGAAACACTTATGAACCACATCAACAAACGACAACTACTGAACATCAGATTCCTGACTTAGGACAGGTGCAAACAATTGCAGTTTAAACGTTTTAATGGTACCAAACCTTCACCCTTATCTGAAACAATAGTGTAACATCACAACATAGAAAGACACACTATAAAATATCAATTGAAATGGCTTAACTCAATCAAAAGACATATTAACACAAGTGAACATACACTGGACGAATAAATGTGATCTATGATACAATGTAAATACAAAATCAATAAAATAAGGGAATAATAATTAAAGTAACAGTATTATACCGCTGTGAAATGTTAAACAATTTCAGAAAAACAACAATAGCATTGAACAAAAATCCGCCATTTACAATAATATTATACACAGGTAAATGAAAATAATTTTGTAGTCAGGTATACAGTTTAAATGGAAATATTTTTACAAAATAAATAATTTTGATGTTCATAGTACGAAGAAGTGAAAATTTATAGTAATACCAAACACTTATCAAAGCTGGTATATAGACCAGATAAAACCCTGAATAAGTAAACATTAAATAACAAAAAAGCATTATAAATAGTATCAACAGGTCAAATTAACAAGAAAGTACGATTTGAGAGTACTCGCAGTTACTGACAGCTAGTTAAAAGCCAAAAACAATTAATAATAAAAAATCATGCATCAGAGACTAAAATCAACTAAAACACATCCCAGGGATTTAGTATTTTAACGTCATGGACAGTCAAAGAAGACATGACTCGTACATGCAATGCCAAAAATAAATGTATCGACATGCAGTAGGATAGTTAGAAGTTAACCTCTTTATAGGTAAAAATGAAAATGGGGGTGTCTTTATACATCCCTTTTGAAAAGAATACAAATTTAGTTATGTTTTAATTTGCTGACAAAAATCGATATTAGTGCCAATGTAAACTATATTCAAAGATCTAATTACAAAATTGGTAAGATGACCTTTACTAATAAGTTTGCTTAAAGATTCGATGAGTTTACACGGATCACATAGTGATTTCCGCGCTTTTAGTACAATATTACCGTAAAATTTAGGATGCGAAATACCGTTTTTAATAAGTTTTCTACAGGTACAGCCAAATTTAGTTTACTAATCAAATCGTTGTATCTATGAAAGAATTTAGTAAAAGTTTTAAGTAATTTATGGTAACGAAATCCCTGACTTAATAATTTACCAGTGATGCATTGATTACGTTCGTTAAAATCTATGACATCAATACACACACGGGCATAACGAATGAGTAGGGATATATAAACACCGTATGATGGAGCCAAAGGAACATCGCCGTCTAAAAAAGGAAAATTACTAATAGGGATGAAAAATCGTCTCTTATGTCGTAAATTTTAGTATGGAGTTTCTCTTTAGAAATTGAAATGTCTAAATCTAGAAAAGGACAACTACTGCTGTTTATGTTAGATTTAGTTAAAGTAAGTTCTTTGGGGTAAATTTCGGTAGTATATTTAGAGAACTCTGGATTGTTTAACGAAAAAATATCATCCAGATAACGGTAGGTATTGTTGAATGTATCAACCAAATGTAACAATGACGTGTCTTTACTGAGTTTGTTCATAAACTGAGATTCATAGCAATACAGGAATACATCTGCTATTAAAGGGGCGCAGTTAGTACCCATAGGAATAGCTACTACCTGTCGATACACTTTATCGCCGAAACGTACATATATGTTGTCCAGGAGAAAATTTAAAGCTTCAATCATATCTTCACATTTCCAGTAAGTGTATCTAGCATACTTTCCTTTTTCGTTACAGAAAAAGGCTTTAAACGAGTTACAGCAAATAAATTTGCAATGAGATTTTTCAAAAGACCATTTAATTAAATATGAAAACTTTTTTTTGATATGATTGTGTGGAAGTGTAGTGTAGAGAGTAGAAAAATCATAACTGTCAACAGAATTTAAAGGACCATCAAAAGCATGTATTTTATCTAAAACCTCTAAAGAATTTTTAACACTCCAAAAATAATTAATACCATTATTTTCATAAGCTTTATTACAAAAGTTAATAACAAGTTCTTTAATAGTAGTAAGGGAGGTAGTTAGAAGCACTGATAGATTAGTAGTAGAACACTTACTAGATGCGGAGATGAAACGGAATTTAAATGTTTTTTTGTGCAATTTAAGTAACCAGTACATAGTAGGGACTTTCAAATGTTCAGAAGAGGCTTTAAGCTGGGTAGTGGTAGTGATATGCTTGTTTACAATTTGACTCTCTGTGGAGCGTACGGACCTGAATGTAGAAGAATTGATAATTTCGTTTTGGGGAACTTCCGTGTAGTATAACACTGCATCACTTGAGCATCCGTTGTACACTACAAAATCGGCGCCAGTGCCGACAGATGTATCTACAAAAATAAGTCTAATAGATCCAGTATTTGTAAATCCTGGATCAAAATCCTGTCTAAGAGTGGTTTTAGATAAAGTTGCTATAGATTCCGGAATTATTACAGGATCACGTCATTTTGTGTATGTTGTATGTGATGGCTCTCCTATGACACTACTTTGGCAACTTATCATGGAGGAACTAGAGAAATGCTTTTGAGTCGTCCCACTAACAGGTCTTGGTCATGAGATGAACATGGTAAAATCCTTTACAGAGATGTTTTTTGATTTCATAATAAAAAGGTTTTTCGAAACTCAGGGATATAAAACCCCTAAAGCACTTGCTTTCGCAAAAAGATGTTCATATCATTATATTGCCTTTGACAATTTATTTAAATTTAGAGAATCAGTCTGGATGGAATTGGTGTATACTTTTAAAAACACAAAAGAAAGTTGCGTAGAGGAGAATTTAAATGGTTTAGTTCAATGGCTAAATGGTAATAATGACAAAATTTTGCTAATCATTTGTTATATTATGTTACCATGTCTAGAATCGATATTCATGTTCCGAAAAGGCGTAAGAGAAAACAATTATGTTCTCATAGAAACGGCTCGTAAAATATTTCGTCAAATTTGGTATGGAAGATATGTTGATTGAGAGTTTTGGACTTTGCGATAGATTCCTCATGCCACCAGAAATTCGAAATTGTTTAAATAAACACCAGTCCTTTTCCCGTAGTGGTTGCATCGATGCTCATCAGGGTTTAGATTTCATATTAGAGAATATAATCGTAACATTAAAAATCATATATCTGGTGTGGCTAACAGTATAAAATGGGAAACAGTAAATAAGAATTACGATACGCTTGAAATTTTGATGGAGAACATTAAATCCTTAATTGAAAGAATAGAATATATGAGGCAATCGAGACAAATACAGGAATTTAAATCTGAAATGGACCTGTATCGAGCAGAATTAAGAAAAACAAAATACATGTATCCAATAAATGAGAGAAATGTAATAGGTTAAGATCCAACACTGCAATGTTCACAAAACATATCAACGTTCACGTCCTTGTCGCACATAAACATGGATAGCATTATAAATAATTTTATTTAAGATTGGCAAATATCCGAGTCTGTTAAAAATATCGAAAAATTCCAATATCTACATCAGAAGAAAACGAACTTTGCAAAGAAAAAAACAAAACAAAACTAGGCTGATTGCAATGATTGAGGAAAATATTGCTCCATTACCTTCAGAACAAAGGAAACAGTTTGAAATAGAAAAAAAAATCAAAAAAACTTAAATATGCCAAAAAATCTATACTTATAGAATTTGTTAACCTTGTCAGACAAGGAGTAAGAAATGTCTGGAGCAGTTTTGATGAAATTTGATAGATGATATAGGTTTTATACATGTTCTGTACCTGTCAAATTCTAAATAAAAAAAAATATTACATAGTATCATATAGTACATATCTCTTTTCAAGATAATGGAAAACCAATCTTTCTGAAAGGTGTTTGTATATAAAAATAAGGAGATGTGGAAACCGTATGATTGCCAATGAGACAACTATTCACCAATGTTCAAATGAAGTGGATGTGAGCAACTATAGGCAACCGTAAGGCCTTCAACAATGGGAAAAACCCATACCGTATCGTCGCCTATAAATGGCCCCGATTGATGATTACACGTGTTTGTTTCTTAAAGACAAATTAATAAATACATATCCTTTCTCGATTTAAATGACTTTTTAATCATAAAAGAAGGTACAATATCATAACATCAATTTTGCTAAAGTTGGGACATTTAAGTGACCCCAACAGATATTTGACACACTCTAAGTCTTCCCCTTTTTTTTAACCCAAAATTCAAGGATCCCTTATTTTTTTAACTATCTGAATGAAAGCTTATCTTATGGGTAATTGTGTTTTTCACTGTTGTTTCGTTGCTGTCTTTCGGACGAATATCTGAAATCTTCGTGTAATCATCTATCATATTAATGGCTATATTTCGGATATTTCAAACACTGGCTTCTTCGCATAGAAACAACTCTTCGTTAATCTGAGCATGGAACGAATACTTTATATCATGGACTATAAATGTGAATACAAAAAAATTAAAAACTAAGCAAAATTGTTAATCACACAATGCATGAAACAATGTGTTGTATTTCAGTAAAAAACACGTGTTCTCGGTTGATCGTATTCCGTGAAACACGTAGTAGTCCATCCTGCATTGTTACTCAATAAATGGATTGGTCAAAAACCTAGGTAAAAACAAAATGCGTCATACATAAATAAACGATTGTATTTGAGAGGACATTAGTATTCTAATTTATGCATATCCATATAAGGTAGTGTTCCCGTACGACCTGTTTAAGATGTTTCGTATTTGATTTGAAGTAGTTTTGTAATTGTGAATTTTGAGTTTTATTCATCAGATAAGATGCCCTATATATTTGAGGTTTCAATGTGTCCTCATTATTTATAGAATAAATTATCGAAGAATTCAAATATATTCAACGAGTGACCGAACAATACATTAATTCACGAATGGAATATTTTTCGATATTTGAATTTTTTTATTAGTTTTTCTTTTTATCACATTGCCAATTGGCTTTTTAAAAGAAATAAAGTAGAAAATGCAAGAACTTTATCTTTTTCTACGCATTCACAATTTGTTTTGATGCAACGTCGGCGACAACACTTATTGTTGCATGACGCCAGAGGAGTGAAATTATCGAGTTTATTTCACATGTGAAATTGTCGATTTCATTTCACTGGGATGGGAAATCACGATAATTCACTGCAATCAATGTAATAATACTTGTAAAATATCTATGTCGTCTTTACAGTTGTAGATGCAAGCCGTGTTTGATGTTGGATGTATTTTAATTACGTACATGCTTCAAGTATCCTGCGCTTCTTTCTCGTCACTTTGTCATTTTTACTCAGTCTTGTATGGATTTTTTTGCCGGACATGTATTCAAAAGATTATTCATTTATATACATACATATATAAGTTTTTAGCTCAATTTAATTTGAGGAACATAAACAAGACCAATCTTTCTGTCTATATTTATTTGTGTTTGCAATGATATTGATGCAGGAAAATAACTCTCTCAAAATAATACTTCTGTTACTTCATCTTGACAGTAATTTTAAATTCAATCCAAACTTAAGGAAACAGGAGCATATTATCAATGAAACTCATTAATATATCGAAATATCATGAAATTCCACTCTTACTTGACTGACCGAGTACCAGAATGTCCTAACACAAATTAGGTAACCTGTCAAAAATTTAAATACTCCGGAGTCAAAAATCGGTGATAGGAAATTAGTCATATTTACATAGAATAATGGCTTTTTGTTTTTTAAAACTGAATGTATCAACAAGGATATCAAGCGAACCAGCTAGGGGCGAGCTGATATTTGAGTTGATTATGTAAGTATCATAAAATAAAATGCCAATATTCTTTAATCGGCAATTTGTCTAATCAACATGTTTCTTTGGTTGAGAATACGAAAGAAAATGAAATAATTGGTAAAACTATAAACCAGAAATAGATAGAAATAGCTTTATTGTGAGAAATATTGTTCGTGTTTATATTCGGGTGGTCTTCTGTATACACCGTAATCTGATACTTTGGCGTCGTGATAATGTAGAATTAACCTAAATTAAAAGAAAAATAATCGAGATGAATGCAATAGTCATAGAACATGGACATTTAAGTAACCAAATATCCTTCACCAACATACAAGTTATCGTGAATTGTCAAGTAACCAAATACTCTTCATTTGAACTCTGGTAGATAATTGTCTCATTGGCCAATCATACCACACCTCCTGATCTTGATATAAGTTATCTTGGACTGTCAAGCAACCAAATGGAGGGCCAATTAATCAAATATCTTCCACAAACAAACAAGTTAGTATGGATGGTCAAGTAATCAAATTTCCATCACAAACAAACAAGTTGTCGTGGAGGGTCAATTAACCAAATGTCTTTCAAAAACAAACAAGTTATCATGGAGAGTCAATTAACCATCTTCCTTCACAAACAAACAATTTATCATGTAGTGTCTATTAAACAAATATCTTTCACAAACATACAAGTTGTCGTGGAGGGTCAATTAACCAAATGTCTTTCACAAACAAACAAGTTATCATGGAGGGTCAATTAACCAAATATCCTTCACAAACAAACAAGTTGTCGTTGAGGGTCAAATAACCAAATGTCTTTCACAAACAAACAAGTTATTATTGAGGGCCTAGTAACCAAGTATCCTTAACAAACAAACAAGTTATCATTGAAGGTCAAGTACCCAAATATCCTTCACAAACAAACAAGGTATTATGTAGGGTCAAATAACCAAATATCCATCACAAACAAACAAGTTATCATGTAGGGTCAAATAACCAAATATCCATCACAAACAAACAAGTTATCATTGAGGGTCAAGTAACTAAATGTCTTCCACAAACAAATAAGTTATCATGTAGGGTCTAGAAACCAAATATCCTTCACAAACAAACAATTTATCATTGTAGGTCCCATAACCAAATATTTATCACAAACAAAAGTTATTCTGGAGGTTCCAGAAACCAATTTTCCATCACAAACAAACAATTTATCATGGAGGGTCTAGTAACCAAACATACATTACAAACATAGAAGCTAGCATGATAATTGACAGAATTAATACCGATTGTAAAACAAATTTATCACAGATAGTGTAGACACATGAACCGTCTGCCCACATTCAGAAAATTAGCTATTCCGGATTTTTTTAAGGCGACAGTAATTTACCAATGTTAAAGTTCCACAAAAAATGATTAGGGAGAAACAAAGCAAGGTAACAAACAGAAACTGAGGGAATCGCATGAACCCGAAAAGGAACGAAATCATGTGCGTCGACAGGGTAAGCGTGTCCTGTTTTGCTTGTATAATCAGTCATGCAACTTCCATCTCAGTAAAACTGTCACAATCGGGAATGGGACACAAACGGTAAAGTAATGGATCAGACGACTTTACTTGTATCTACAGTTCTAAGAAATCATTTGATAGTGAGTTGAAACAAAGACACATCGTACCGGGCAACTAATTCGTGATGGTGAACGTAAAACCTATGTTGTTTTGTTTTTTTTCGTTGTCGTAACTCTGTTGTAGCACTTTATGTGTATGAGCATGCACATCCTCGGGTTTATTTAAAGAATCAAACAATGTGAGCTCATTGTGTATCGTAGATTTTGAATGCGCTTCTGAATGCATGAACGAACAGCGTGTTTTAATTAAATTCGACCATCATTTCTACTTATAAAATACAGTAAGATGATCCCAATTGTTCAAGGTACATATATAAAAACAGTTTACTTTTTGATTGGTGTCATTTTACCTAAACATTAATGTGAGTATTGTCTATCTTTTTTCTCATCAGTATCAAAGTACCTTGATAATGGAATGTTTAGTGCCTTGGTAAAGAATTCTTGGAATTTTGCAGTATAACCAGGATTTACTTCTTCACTGAACTTCATTGCCGTATCAATATCAACAAACGCTATTGGATCCCGGCTACCATTGTGTATCATCCTGTCACCAGGGGTTACAGACACATATATAATCTGGAATATTTACACATACAATTGAAAAGCTAGACTTGATATATGTATTTGTCCTTTCGATGTCCAATTGTTCCTCGTTGAATTTTGATTAATAGTTGTCTCATTAAAGAGGGGGGAAGGGGTCGGACCTTTATCGGGACTCCGGGATTGGGTGTTTTTAAGTTCGGGATTTCGGGATTGATCCTTTTGGAATCCGGGAATTCTTTTTTCGAATTTCGGGATGTCGGGATTTAAATTTCTTTAAATTCGGGACCTCGGGATTTCACGTTTTTAAGCCCGGGATTTTGGGATCAGGACCCCTCCGACCCCCTCATTAAATGCTGTAATATTATATCTCTTTTCGTAAGTAAAGTTGTGTTTCTGATAGCATGCGACACGTTGTATGTAGCTGATTTAATGTTAGATGCACAAAAGTACCTTCATAAAACATTAAGTTAAAAAGTAAAATAGCAAAAATACCGAACTCCAAGGAAAATTCAAAACGGAAAGTCCTTTATCAAATGGCGAATTCAAAAGTTCAAACACATCAAACGAATGGAAAACAACTGTCATATTTCTGACTTGGTACAGGCATTTCCTTATTTAGAAATGGTGGATTAAACCTGGTTTTATAGCTAGCTAAACCTCTCACTTGTATGACATTCGCATAGAATTCTATTGAATTGACAACAATGTGTGAGTAAAACAAACAGACATAATTGGTAAAGTTGTCAAAAAATTGGGGTACAGCAGTCAACATTGTGTTTTAATCTTAATAAAAAGTATTAAAAAAGAAATAACTATTTCCACAAAGAAAAATAAAATGACATATAGACACTCTACAGACAAAGTACATAAGCAAAAATGAAAGAGAAGAGTACATAAAATGACAAAAGCATAATAACAATAGATATTTGAATTTAATGAGGACACTGGCTTATATATAAAAATAAGAAGATGTGGTATGATTACCGACCGTGCGAGGGCTTTATAGCTAGTCAAGGTCGTTAATAACCTCCATCATCATCATGATTGCCAATGAGACAATCCTCCACAAGATGCCAAATGACACAGAAATTAATAATTATAGGTCACCGTACGACCTTCAACAATGAGTTAAAACCATACCGCATAGTCAGCTATAAAAGGCCAGGAAATGACAAATGTACAACAATTCAAACGAGAAAACTAACGGCCTAGTTTATGTACAAAATGATGAACGAAAAACAAGATGATCTACAGCAACAAACGACAACCACTGAATTACAGGCTCCTGACTTGGGGGAGACACATACAGAATGTGGCGGGGTTTAACTAGTTTGAAGGGAACCCCCCCAAACCTGGGACAGTGGTGTAACAGCACAACATAAGAACAAACTATAAAAATCAGTTGAAAAGGGTTTAACTCATCAGATAAATACATTGCAGAAATACATCTTACAAAAACACAGAGTGGACATGGCAGGGTACTTATATATCCCCACAACAAAAAGACACTAAGTACAGATCTGAGTGTACTCGCAGTTACTGACAGCTAGTTCAAAGTTAATAACAACTAATAATAAATATCATGCATCTAAGACAAAAATATCAATCAGTACACATCCGGTATCCAATGCATTTAGTGTAAAAACGTCAGAGAGAAACATGAACTTGTGCAATGCCAAGAACTAGGTAGCCGACTAATTGTAGAGCCATGAATGTGCATTTTTATATAAAAATAATACTTATTTTGATGTTAATTACTAGAAACTAATAACAAAAATACGTTGTTATTGATTATAGTCTGTTAGTTTTATACGATGACACAAATTTAGGAACGCCTCTATTAGTTTTGAATAATTATTATTACGTGCTTTTAATTCTTAAATGTGTAAAGCACATTGAACTTTCTCACTCATAATACTTGACATTGACTGTAGCATCTGTTTAACTATTAACAAACATTTTGATTAACAAAAAAAAATCGCACCCGCCATTCCTATTATAACCATTGCATGTAGGGAATATATAACCATTGTACATATTTTAATTTGTACATACTATTGCATGTAGGGAATATATAACCATTGTACATATTTTAATTTGTACATACTATTGCATGTAGGGAATATATAACCATTGTACATATTTTAATTTGTACATACTATTGCATGTAGGGAATATTAAAATAGTTTGAATATTACTGCTGTGCCAGATTGTTGTATTTTTCAGCTTATTAGTTCATGCTGCGTGGAAGATGTTGATGAAGTGATTCATGATGGACTTTGTATAGAGACAGAATGATTTTTATAGCATTGATTATGTGGTGAAGATTTAACATTTGGTTTCGTTTCTATAGTGCTGGTTATACATTAACAGATTATGAAATACTTTTTTGTTTCGTATTTATAAAGACCACACATCTAAAAAAAATTATTTTTCATATCGTAGTGTTTTAAGTTAAAAGTTAGTTGTTAGTTTCAGCATTAAAACTAGGAAGTCGCAGATCTTTTAAGGAGAGGCTTTTAGGGAGACAATAAACGGACTTTCCCCCTCTGGCAAATGGGTATAAAATTATTTCCTAGGGTTCCCTGTTGCCATAGAGATGAATCTCCTCTACTTCTGGTAGCGCGGATTAGTGACATCAGTGCCCGGCACGTTATCATCAGTATGTAAAGAAGAAGAAGAGCAAAGTGGAGGTGCCATATCCGCAGTACACGCTTTTTGCAGGTTGTTTGCAAATGAAATAATCGGACAAACTGTTGTTTTTGCTGAGGTTTGTGTAAAAGAGAGGTGAAGGATACCCGAGGGAAATTCAAACTCATAAGTCGAAAATAAACTGACAACGACATGGCTAAAAAAGAAAAAGACCAACAAACAAAAAGTAGTACATAAAACACAACACAGAGGGGGGTTCTCCGTCCAGTCCATTCTTGAATGTAGGAAGGATATCTTATGTTATCCTAGGGTGACCGATAAGCTCTTTTCAATTCATTGAATATCGGGTTGTCTCCCTGGAATTGGCAAACGTTTTTATCTGCGGCCTATCAAGTATCCACACATACATGATTTTATCTGCGGCCTATCAAGTATCCACACATACATGATTTTATCTGCGGCCTATCAAGTATCCACACATACATGATTTTATCTGCGGCCTATCAAGTATCCACACATACATATTTTATCTGCGGCCTATCAAATATCCACACATACATGATTTTATCTACGGCCTATCAAATATCCACACATACATGATTTTATCTGCGGCCTATCAAGTATCCACACATACATATTTTATCTGCGGCCTATCAAATATCCACACATACATGATTTTATCTACGGCCTATCAAATATCCACACATACATGATTTTATCTGCGGCCTATCAAGTATCCACACATACATATTTTATCTGCGGCCTATCAAATATCCACACATACATGATTTTATCTGCGGCCTATCAAATATCCACACATACATATTTTATCTGCGGCCTATCAAATATCCACACACATACATGATTGTGTATTTATACTTGTTGTATTATTAGTAATAAATATTTTGTATTCATTCTAATGTGTATTGTTACTTTTCAACACCATTGGTCCGTTTATCAATGCATTAAAAAGCAGCTTCAAAAATGCGTTTATGTCTTTATGATTTTAAAAACAATTACACCCCAGTTCTATTGTTATACTTCATAGTTTCTATTTCTGAAACAAGTGTAAATTGAATAGATCTATTGTTACGAATAACAATGGATTTTGACCACAGGGTGTGACGAGCGGGGTTTCTGGAAACCCCTGCTTCTACATCCCTCAAACAAAGTCCATTGTTATTCGTAACAATAGAAATTGATTATTTTTTAAATAGCATGAACATAAGAAATTACTAATAGTGTTCACTACAAATTGTTTCATGATATTGAAAAAACAGATTTTAGGAAATTCCAATAAGCATCTATTTTGAAAAATAATCCTTTAAATACTCCTTTGCTTGAAGGTAATTTTTTTTATCCCAGTCATATGTCTCTATTCTAAAGCATTGATCTTTTAAAAAAATGGGGATTCTAACTCCCGGACGCCCCCCACCCCCTCGGTTACCCAGTGGCCGATCCGGGGTTGGGGTTCCTCGGGTTGGACCCGACTTTTATTTAAAAGATCAATGCATTTGAATGGCTGGACCCCCCCCCCCCCCTTTTTTTCTCTTGAGTTGGGAACCCTCGGCTGGATCAGCCCCTGATTGCCCCCAAAAAGGGAGTTCCTCTATATTAAATATTGTATGTTGAGCTTGTCTGGTAGTCGGGTTTCTAATGCAGACACACCTATCCCTTAGTATGTTCGAATATGAATGTTTGTATGTTTGTTTATTCTCGAGAAGAGGGGGGGGGGGGGCTTTTGTTTTTGATAAAATCGTACGATATAAAATACAGTTATGATTACCTTTATTAATGATGACTTCCGGTTAGCATGGCGGCGCCCATGTGTTTTTCAAGAACAAGTATAAATTAACCAAATTGTGGCCTGAAAACTGAAAGTATGAACTTTTAAATATAGCAAATAGTGAAATGTAAAGAACATATTACAAATAGAACTATCAAGATGAAAAGCAGAATTGCGGATTAAGAGCAAAGCATGCCAAGTCCAAGAGCGCCCCACAACACGAGGTTTAAAACGGGCACCATGCCCTTTCAATATACTCCTGGATCAAACCAAGGAAGTTTTACCTTATCAAATGACTCCTTATTTCTTTGGAGAAGAGCATTGATAGTTAGATATATCAAAATAAGTGGAAATGACCCGAGTACAAGAATTTTATGGAATGACTATGACCGTAGTTCGCAAATACTTCAAATCTCAGACTCTGACGATAAAAACAAATTTATAAATAAACAACCACATAAAGATTTATTTAAATCAACTGTGTCTGTTAGTGTTGGGAAACAAAAACTGTTTGTTGTAACAATATTTTATACAACAAAAACTGGCATGGTTCAGGGTCAGGCTTCAAATACCTGGCTCCAGACAGAGTTCAAGT